AGCTATTGTGATGGCAATGACAAAAGCTAGGTTTTTGGATGTACTTCTTGTACGCTTGATGAACCACACAGAAATTAAGAATGTTAATGCCGGACTCTTGCATGAATTCGAAATTGATGAAAATTGAATTCTATTTCTTCATATGGTCATCTACCTCCTACTCCTATTGGGGTTGGTATTTTTGAATGTAGTAGTCGTTTTCCAAAGTGCACGATTTGGTGACAAATTTGACATTGTTTCTTTCCTGGATAATCGTGTGCCTTTGAATTATTGGTATGTATAACTTGTCCACAAGTCGGGCACAATCTCTGTGAATCTTGCGTCTTCAGACGTTGTTGATAACAGGTTGGACAAAGAAATGTTTCCTGACAAGTTGGACAATGCACTCGTTTTTGTCCTTCGTCAAGACATAGTTTAGAGGCCTAACATCTCTATATTTCGATTCCCAATGATTGATTTTGTCTCGATTGTTACATCCATAGTCATTCTTCTCAAAATATTAACCGTATTCCAGGAATCCGGTGATACTGGTATGGCATCGAAATGTTCATCGTGATGATAGATGTGAATATATTTCTGTCTTTGAAACCTTTGCCTTGAAACAACAATGATCCGCGCACTTTTTGATGGTGCAATTTCAAGGTCTATCTTGTAGCCAAGACGTCTAGAAATTTTTACATTTCAGGAATGCCACATGTGTGTCTTTGGACAAGACAGCTTGCTGTAACAGGAGTTATACAAGTCTTCGTTGTTTGACTGGGTTCGATGTTTCAATAGTTTGCAAGGCTCTTTTTCATTCTACTGTGTCGTTTTTGTCAGCATAATTTCGTCCCACGGAATAAACACATCAGATCTTGATGATTCTTAATTAGGACTAGACTGTGCTTGGTTCTGCGAAGGTCGTTCACCAATAACACTTTTTGCGTTGTCCGGTCCCTTTGGGAAGAGAGACTTGGGTCATGTACAGTGTCGCTTTTCCGTCGATAATCTGAAACTTGTCGTTGGATTGCGGTATGTGTTGAATCTTGTCGAAAACTTTGGAAGGTGTCAATTCTGATGGGCTGCTAAACTCGATCCAAACAGGCGCCTTCAGACTGTCTTGATAAATAGAAAGTCTCAAGCGATCGTCTTCTTTGGTTAACATTGTCGTTTTAGTGTGGTTAACAAAGTATTCCACACATTGGTCACACTGCAGACATCGTGGCAATATGGCTGAAAATTGTTAAAGCTGCATTGGGAACCTAAATCACTCTCACACACATTTCCCAGTGTACAGCACCGTGACTTTTCCCGTTCAATTTCTATTATCCGTGTATAGTCCCACCCGTGTTAATTTTCCAATGTTCATGTATAGTCTCACTCCTGTTTTTGTCCATATAGGGCCAACTCACTTTGTTAACATTAATGTCCCATTCTCCATATAAATCTTGACCAGATAGGGCAAACTCATTATTTTAACATTAGAGTCCTATTGTCCTTATATCGTTCCCATTCAATTCTTGTACCATACGTTTAAGATATAAATAAAATCTGCTTGATCTCCTTTCAATCTCACAATAAGAACAAAGAATATTTATAAACATTTATTGAATTAAAACAAAACTGCAAAATGTATAGTTTAGTAAGCTTTACTGCTTTGACTGACAATGTAAAGAAAGAAAAGGAAAGAGAAAGATGAGAAGAGAGGAGTAGCAAATCGTCATCAAGGAGTTTCAAAATACGACTAACTTGTTTCATTTTGGGGTTGGGGGATTGGGGTGGGTGGGTTGTTTTATGTTTTTGTTATGTTGTATTTGTATTTAAATGGTATTGTATGTTGTCTTTTGTCCATGATTATGTGTTAAACATTTCATTTGTATTGTGTGATTGATTGGTACCCAAAGTTGGTCGTTTGAGATAAACTTACATGTCTAATATCATGTATGGTAGACATGTTCAATAAGTTTGAGTTATAGCTACAGCCTTGATGTTGAATATGAATTTTTCTAGAAAACCAATTCTGTTTACTGTTTGATGAAGATTTCCATTTGGATGACAGAGTAGTGGAGATCTATATAAGAATGTTCATAGTTTAAAATGTTTTGGAATTGAAATTTTAGTTCTCATCCTGATTCTCAGATTGTGTCTTAGGTAATTATATCAAGGTTGATTACAGTGGAATTACTTATTCCTATGTTAACATCTAAAGTGGAATCAATCTTGTTGTTGTGTTCAGTTTTAATTTGAGAGGTGTTATGCATTTGAAATATTCGCTTTAATTGCAAAGTACTCTTTAACTTTTGGAGTAAATAACCATCAGTGGATTATGTTGAATTAATTCAAGGACATTTTGGAAGATATTATTGTGATAAACCAAGATTGTTAGCACATAAATGCTATTTCTGGCGACTGGCACGACATCACATTCAAACTTAGAATTCATTAAGAACATCACTGGAACCCGTTTTGGATGATCTATACTTTTGAACACGTGATATAACTTTTTAGAACTATGATATAGAACACAGTGTTTTTAATATTCACTTTTGATTTGAGCGAAATAATTAGTTGCTGAATTTACAAAATATGTTGGTTTTCGCTCTGTTATGTTGCTTAGTTTAAGACCCCAGTATAAAGAAAATTTATAATATAGCAATTAGTATTTTCCCTTGAAAACATCAACTGAACATGTTCTTCAAAATATTCAATTTCTTCAAAAGAACTATAAATAGCTCTGGACAGAACTTGGTGTTTGTAAAACTTCCGTTAACGTGGTGAATGTAATAAATCGTATTATTTATATTATCTCTACAACAAAGTTTGTGAGTATCTTTTCAGAGTATATACTATTTGATCAATTGTCAGTGAATGCAATTGGAAATAGAGATGGTAACCACCTTTGGTAATCACGCTGCTTCGAATACAAAAAGCAACAAAAACAAAAAATAAGCAAAACAAAACAAAAACGGCAAACACAAAGTAACATTATCAAAAAAAAACACTTATGAAAACCAAATAGTTCAATAAATCAAAAAAATAATTTACTTAATAATCAAACAGGTCAGAACAATTATTTCCAATCAGAAATCAAAAACTCAATCCGCGAGTAACACCCCTCGTTTTTTTTCTTGCACAGACACTTTAATCCTCTCTCCCGTCATCACCATAGGGAACATCGTCTGCACTTAGCTTGAGATCCGCAATCTTGCTTGTTAAGTGGAATGTAACGCTGAGCCATACGCGTAAACAGACTTAGCTATGCAAAGCATATACATGAAAGTACAATTACAAATCGATACCTCTATACCAAGCAGAGAACGGAACTCTCGTCGTTTTATTACACATTGTATGGTTGATTACAATGGTATATGGAAGAAAATTATATGAAATTACACTTTCGTCAAAAAGGTATGAGTTATAATTTTTCCATACGGGAATTGAATCATTGTCGAGATCTACTCTTTTAATACATTACAACTCAAAAGGTCACTTTTAATACATTACAACTCAAAAGGTTGCCGCGTTAGGGAACACTTTGAATATGTCTGCACCATCATCTTAACAAACCAGGAAAGTATTCGAGTCGCATAACATAACCTGGGCATGTTACGTTAGAGACTTCTTGTTTAGATTTGGATCCCATGATGCATGGGTCATCTAAGGAGTAGGTTATATACACATATATCTATTGCACTTTGAAACAAAGATTGATTGACTGACTGAGAGATCGATCATTTTATTAAAAAATATCAAAAAATATACGAAATTCTAGTATAGCTCCTTTTGTACGCAAATATTACGCCATTTTCTACGAAGAGTCTCCGCATTTCTAAAGTTAAAAGTCCTATAACTGGATTGCAAGTGTCGTCGCATAGATTGGAAATTGAGATTGAAGGTAGAGCGCACAAAGCAATTGAGGGGAGACCATGCTAAATATGCAAAACAAAGGAAGATTAGTAGAAAGCGAATGACATAAAGACCATGTTTCATATGCTATAATAATAATAATAATAATAATAATAATAATAATAATAATAATAATAATAATAATAATAATAATAATAATAATAATAATAATAATAATAATAATAATCATTTAAGTGTCATTTATAATACAAATTTGAATATATCTTTATTCTTGGTTTCCATACAGGGAACATACTTTGTCCTCCTTTCATGATACGTATACCCTGTATACATATCAGAGTATTGATACTGGATGAATGCCCATCTTTTAATACATGTTTTTCACTTTGCTTCTGAAAAGCTGTCGTTGTAACCATGTTGATTTATTTAACTTTTTGCTACATATTTACTGGATTTGTATCCTCTCACTACTGCTTGGCTGATGGAAGTAAATACATTTGTATTATTGTTATTATTATAATACAAATGCTTTCTGAGAAAATGCAATAGCGGATACGGAAAATTGGAATGTTGTTTTTCTTGCAATATTCAAGACAAATGTTAGCAATGAACCGACTGTGATTGATGCTTCAGGACCATTTTTACTGAAAAGTTAAGTCTGCTATTTTCACGGTATTGGCGCCGCTCTTCAGTATCTTCGTCGTGATAAGATACTGCACACAAAGAGAAGATATATGAGGCTGGCGAGAAAATCGTATTTACTATGTTTATTCACAAGGAATACATAACTCCTACAACACACTTTGGATTCAGGATGGGCAAACATGATTTATAGTAACCTTTATTTTGGCTTTGTGATGAATAAATCTTTTTTTTACTCCATACTGAATTCTAGGCGATAAACGTTTACAGAAAAGTGTGTGTGTGTGTGTGTGTGTGTGTGTGTGTGTGTGTGATTTTGATTTTTAATTTAGCTTTAGCAAGTTTTCAGTCATATCGCTACGAAGTCTGCAGTGTGAGTTTTTAGAACTGAGGGCATCATGCCGCAGACATGTAGCATCATGTCCCACCCTTTAACATTATCCAGACACCAGCCCGACCAGTCCTGCTACTAACCTCTTAATGATCAGCACCATTTTTGCAAGTCTTTGGTCTGACTCGGCCGAGGTTCTAACCTGCGATCTCCCGCTTCCTAGGCGGACGCTCTAACCACTAGGCTGCCGCAGTGGTCAGAAACTATTGATAGAGGTTTTCTTGTTTAAGTGTCCAAGAAGGGTGGAGATAATATCACTTTTAAGTAAGCGATATTAATACTGCGTAAAAAGTGTATTGGAATTGTGATTCATAACGCACTGTTTTACTTCTAGACTTAAAATACCAGCAAGATTAACAATATAAATATAGAGAAGGGCAAATTACATACGAGTCCAACGAGTTTCATGCAAATTACATACAAGTCAAACGAGTTTCATGGATAAAGGTGTATTGAATACCTTGTCATACTCTTTAAAGGTCCATTGAGATCAAGGAAATATTTAAAACCCAGTACATCTAATACACTTGCATGTAACACGACGTCCACCAGATTCGCTTGAAAATAGTTATTATATGATATCATACAGTGAAGCTTAAAGTAGAAAGCGAATTAGCTCGTTGAATTAATAAAATATAAAGCCAAGTGTAAAGTTAAAAAAAACGAAAATGGTCATTGATATTTTTTCCATCGGAATCTTTGTGTAATAAATCTGAAAAAGCAGACCACACACGGAAAGATAAATTTTGACGTCAGTACGATCTTCAATAGCCAGATTATTTTAGTCACAAATAGATGAATTTATCGTACATGATTAAGCAATTGGACACCTCAGTATAATACTCATTAGCTTCAATGAAACTATCAGGGAGAGAGTTGTTATGTATGTAGGCGGAACAAATAATGTTTGGAGACTGAGTGTATGTACAAAAGCTTCGTTTTAGACCTTTTTTACAGCTTTGTTCAAGTCATGTGTACATCTTACTGTTTATAGTATTAAAGCTGGTCATTTTTTGAAAACAATGTGCAGATGTATCATGCACATAAAAAACGTCAAAAAACTATGGAACATTCTTCATCTTATGTTTAGTTAGTGATGACGGTCCGATAAGAGGTTGCTTAAGGAGCGCTAGTTTGATTATATCACGGTATACCATAGTATCTCTGAACGTACCACGGTATACTGAAATTATTTGTGGACCAACAATGTTATGTTTTAAGGCAAGGTGTCTGACATTTATACTTTTAAATTTCCATCTGTCTATAGCTGAATAAGTATCTCGTTCTGATTTATAAAACTAACAGCATGTTATACCCATTACATTACTTGACATAAAACAAAATATCTCATCTCAAAAGAAAATCGTTGCATCTTCTCCACCCATACACATTAAATGGTCAGTATGTTGCAGTATATGAATCTGCTATGGTAATGTTAATTGTTGTATATATTGTAATTTAGAATTGTAACTATATTAAAGCCTACGTATTACTGGACACACTGATATAATAGGAAGGGAAACCTTGAGTGGGATGCCAACGCCTGGGCAAGATATTTATCGAAGAGGGCCAGTAAACATAAAACACACTCAACAAATGAGGACACATTTAGTGGACCTGAGAAATTATGTAATATTCAGATATAAACGCTTAAAATTCTTAGATAAATTCTCAGTACAACATTATTCATAACGTTGGATTTCGCATAAATATCTTTCACAATATGTCATTTGGTCACCACTCTGGAATACGTCACACAGGTCAAACGTGTAATTAAATGATCATTAATACATTTCATTTGAGACATATACAACTGTTTTTTTTTGGCGTGAACAATGAAAACATATTATTATCATTGAATTCGTAGCAATGTTACTCTAGAATTCTCGTACATACGGAAGGATGTACAGCTAAATCAGTACAGTGATAAGGCATTGTGGGACTTATCACCTGGGAAAAAAGTACCGAGAAAACACAATTTTAATGACAGCATAGGTAGTGCGATTCAAGAAATAATTTTAAAACTGTTTCGTCCATCTTGATTCATAATTGCCTAAAACTTGTATTCACAGCTACGAACTTTGGGTACAAAGAAATATTTTGATTACATAGTCTGCATCTGTAAGTGATGATGAAACCATATTTACCTACATGTATGTCGGCAATAAAGCGCACCTTCAATAGCACCAGTAATGATTCCTCTTTGTAGTCAATACTACAAAAACGAAGGACATGAGGTAGACTTGTAATACCTGTTCCGCTTACCTCACTTAACTTGGTAAACATCAGTGGATAATTGACACCAACAATCTCGAAGTGCAGACACTTCAGCTGAATTACTTTTCCATTTCCTTGGGGGCATGTCTCTATCTTTTTCGACTCCAAAAGCATGTTTTCTCTGTGAAAACAATATTTGCCATTAGGATGAGTAAATAAGGATAAGCCTTTTGTATAAAATCATGATTATAAATATTTATACTAGTTTGACTTGTGTGGAAAAAGTGAGATTTTTTTGTGTGGTATCCATTCTATATTATTATTCTTATTGTATTTTGAAAATACGGATACTTAATTTAAACTTCAAAACGACTCGCTCAATACCAGAGACTGTTGCTGTGTACATGTATCAAACTTTCCATTGAATACGTAGAGTACGTAAGCTATGCAGTTTGTAACCTGTGTATCTTAACCCCCATCTCCAATTTATATTGTAGCGATTCAAGAGCGAGTCTTCAAAATTCCATTACATAACGTGACACGACAAAGAATTATCAATAACTATCAATATAGCTTATACGGTATTATATAACTTTCTAATTTTATGTAAATAAATGTTCTATTATGACTTTAATTAGTCATGGGTGAAGCAAAACTTCGTCCTAAAATAGGAATTGCATTTCGGGTAAAAGACGATATGATCTCTGTACGGTAAATGACCGTCTGTGATTTCTTTGTAATAGTAAGACTTGTACGACAACTTAGGTATCACGCAATTAATGTGGTGAGATTTCCCGATAACACTCAAAATATGGCTGGCAGAAAATTGCACCTACCTTGTATACTCTCTTATAAGACAAGTCCAACTGCAAACTGCACAGACCCAGATCTGCCGTCGCATAATGTGCCGGTAGATCTGGGCCTATGCATTTTGTTAAGAGTAACCTGTATGAAAAACAGAGACCCTAAAATAGAGGTGCATTATGATATGGCAGATCAAAATTGCTGTTGATTACAGTTTGACTCGACTTATACAGTAATATTTTTTATAGTGCGTCGTCAAACCTTAAGCTATGCTGGGTGCTTGTTCATACATAATATTATGTTTATTTTGCTTTCAACTTAAATCGATGGAAGTGAATTGTTTCAAAGTAAGGTGTATGTATTTTGTAGGCACAAATGACGGTGGACCATTTCAGATGGATATTACGTCATTGAAGTACTGCAAAACATTCCTTTTTCTTGATCGTTCTTCTTATTTCATATTCTATCATGCTGATGATGCATCAAAAGTTCTTAAATATTAACTTACATATGTCACCATGACACACATATAAAAATCACATTTAGTTATTAATATAATAAAAACCAACATTATTAAAATAATTTCCCGTTTTCTTATTCACTCTCAATGATGAAATAATTCTCGAGAGTTCTTGACTAGTAGGCTAATGTACTGTAAAAAAAAAACTAAGGAGATGCGCATTTGGTTGTAGCGCCCCTTTTAAGCAATTTTAAGCAATTTGTAGGTTTGTGTGATTACTTGTTTGATTATTGGAATTTGGTGCAATGGGAAATATTCCTTAGCCCGAAATAATTAGCGAATTATTAGGAGCAAAAGTCGCGGAGAGAAAGTGTTAGTGAGTTTACAAGATGCCATGGTCAATGAGTAGCGAATTCAGACCAAATCTGCATGAGAAAGTGTATCCTGCAGTGATGTAGTACTTTATCAAATCTTGTGGTGTACATTGGTTTTGTTACTGCCGTGGCAGTATTTAAGTCAGGAAACAAGAAAATTAGACAATGGAATAAATGAGAAGGGACTCGGCAGATACTGTTTATGTCGCCATGGTGGCAATTGTGATGTAGTTTTACTGGTGTGATGTGCCTTGAAACGGTAGACTGACTGGCCTCAGGTGGCGCAGTTAAAATAGTCCCCGGTTTAGGTATAGTTGTAAAGTTTAGACGGTGTGAACTGCTGGCGGAACAGAAAGTTGAATTAGAGAAACTATGCGGATGTGTGATTGATGACTATTTGGCAAGTTGTGAATAATATGGTTTTGCATTGATTAGAGTAAAATAAACGTACAAAATGAACACGCCGGAATTTCCAAAATACAATAGAAGTTGTATAGAAGTCTTTGGAAATTTAAGGTAAACTTATGACTTCTAGCGGGATTCGCGCCAGGGTTTTGACACCGCTCGTTCAAGCAAAGGTCCCTGGCTTGTAACAACACAAAGATAAAATTTTCTTATGATCATCAAAGTCTATAGCTTACTTGATGCTTTTGAAAATGAATAAAAACATTTCACTTCACCATTATACTACATTAAAAAATATGTGAATATAATCGTTGCCATTTGACATTAGTATTTATTGTCTAAATCACCTAGATCTGTTTGTAAACTTGTGCCGCATTGCAGTGTATAGTTTAACAAAAGGTCGTCTGGAGGCGTTGAAACATATGCTCTCGCGATGTTCTTTTCTTGCATGTGAAATGCTGCCAAGGTACCATAGTTTCTCATAGATATATTCAACATGAACAAGTATATCGATTAAGACGAGAAAACCTGAAGTAATGATGACAACTTGCGGTCGAGGATAAACCGAATAATGACCAAGAATAAAACCATGTTACATCTGGGCCACTTACTTGGTGTAATTATCATTAACCAGGTATATATGGGATAAATAATGAATGGTGTGAATTATGAATGACATTTTATTTATCCTCCTTTTGTTTGCAGCAGACATATAATACACAAAATATGATACACACACACACACACACACACACATATATATATATATATATATATATATATATATATATATATATATATATATATATATATATATATATATATATATATATATATATAGAGAGAGAGAGAGAGAGAGAGAGAGATAGAGAGAGAATATATGCTACTTTACGACAATTTTCTCTAAAGAGTACCAAACACGAATTACCATAGCTACT